AACTGCGGGGAACTCTGCAAAAAACGCATCTTCGCACGGGCAGCCCGTGCGTCGGCCAATTATTCTTTTTACGACGCCTGCCAAAGCAACAGTTGAAGAGGGGAGCCTTCTCAAGATGTGTGCGCGAAAACAAATTCAATTTTCTTCACACTTATGTTTGTCTCTCTAATTTACGAAAAGTTTGATAAGAGTCACAGGTAGAGTTCTAAGCAGAAGTGTGATGATCAGTGATTTTGCGTTTGGAGCGAGCGATCGCACTGCATCAAGGGAAACCCTCCAACGTTCTTTTTTGAGGTGATTGATGAGGCTTCAGAGGTAATGGAGGACTTTTGGGAGGTTATCGACAAATTGATCAGCCCAATCAATGCTTTCTGGTTTCATTCTGCTCGGCGATTATAAAAAGAATTGCAAGAGCATCGTTTTTCAAAATCCGATAGCTAAACCGGGATTTTTCAGCCGTTATTCTGCTAGACGGTCATTTGGATTATTTGTTTACATTTTAAGCCACCTTTTTTAGGATTTCTTTTTTCAGGATCAAGTGCATTATTTATCCGAAGTGGTCAAATTAATACCATCATTTGGTGTTCTCAATGAGAGAGACTGCTGCTTGCAAAATATACTCACGTCATGACCTCATTTCACACTTCTTTATGTTACATTCTTTTTTTTCGGTCAAATTAAACTGTCTTTATGCATTTTTGTAAAAATTATGTAATGCGAAGTCAAGTTACTTGTTACGTTTATGCCCATAAAAACGAGTAAAAATAAAATGATGAAAAGCGCATATGCAGAAACAGTAGCAGAAATATAGAAAGAAAAAATCAGAACCATCTGTTTAAATAAATATATATATGTACTCAAATGAATGGTTCTGATTTTTTCAAATATACACATATATGGAGTAGCTAGAATAAAGGCCTGTACCGTATTTGCTTATCGCTATTTATAGAAATGACATGAAATTTTGTTTGAAAATCATAAAATATTTTTTTCAAGGGGTAATTTCTTTAGAATTATAGATTTTTTCTCGGGATTTTTAAAATTTTGCAAAAATTTTGTACTTTAATGGAATCATCGAAAAAAAGATTTTCCGCATTCTATATTTTAAAATGAGAAGCCGTGATGCTATGGAATGTTAATGCAGACGATATTTCATTAGAAATTAGGGGAGCACTACATTACACTAAATAGCGTTGCTAACGAGCTAACAAATGTCATTCTTCAAAAAAGGTCATTAGTAATCAGTTTGCTTTTTTTTCTTTTTAGCATACAATTTTGGCACTTTTTGTACACTGTGTAAATGAAAAAGAATGCACCGAATTATTTTTTTTTTTAATTTAAAGAACAGTTGAAATTTTTCGAACAACTCAAAATTATGACTTTTGTGTGTTTGCATTTTTCTAGTCCGCTCGGGGGTTAGTGTAAGTAGCTTTTACAAGCCTAATCTCTGATTCTGAATTGCAAACCTATTGGTTTTCGTTAAATGTACTCCAGTTCTTCAGAGATCGGTATCGAGGTGTTCGCCCACTTTTTCACGGGTATCACGTATTAGCACATCATAGGCAGTAGGCGCTTTTTTCTAGCTCCAAGAATTCATTCAGGAAGTGTTTGTGATTGCTGTTCTGTTACGCTTGTGCTTTCTGTAATTTTGGTACTATTGCTTGTTGTTTTTGTTTGGGATAAATTTGGTCCATAACGAAATGCAACAGAAATTTCAACCTGGCTCGGAAATGGCAATGATTAAGGGCGAGATGTTGACACTTTAGTACATACCGTTGAATCTCAAGTAGTCAAAGTTCTGCCAAAATTTCGCTGCCGGAAAGCCTGTGAGCCGGTAATTCTCACTGAAAGCAAAAACGAAACTTTAAGATCGTAAAATGCTGGTAACTAAACCGCACAACACTGTCGAAACAATGGTGGAACGAAGAAAGAAGATGACGGTAATGATGGATGATACTGAACTAGTAACTCTTTTAAGCATCAAATAGCACGGTCAATTCAGGGATGGAGTACAATTTTCCAGATCCAGCTTCCGGTGCTGGGCCATTCTCAGTAACTATATTTTTTCTTGGGACAACGAAATCCGAAGCTACGTGCATCACTACCTGCTTCAAAAACAACGCCTCTAAAGCCTTCATTTCCCTATTTTTTGTATCCCTCCTCATCTTTCCCCTCCCTTTTTGTTGCTCCATTCTGATGCAATTTGATACATGCACATCACACAGATGGCAAGTTGGAGGCTGTACTGATGATTTCCACTACGAGCTGCATTCTGCGTTGGGTCTATGTTTAAAGCTAAAGGATGAAACACAGACTGCATCCTATAACACCTCCTTGAGCAGGATAATTAAACTAGTTCAGCACGGAGGTTGTTGTTGCTATTCATTGCTGTCACTTGGACTACTTCTGAGTGCCTCTACCTCGCACAGAGAGGGGAGACAGAATTTTGACCTCGCAGTTTATTGCAGATGAATTTCGGAATTTTTGGGATGTAAGGTCGATATTCCGAAAAGTGAGTAAAATTCAGTCGATAACATATTAGACTATTGAACGATTACAGGCAAAAATAATTTGATGATGCCGATATGTGGTACTGGTTGCCAGT